TTCTTCAAGCAAGGCAGATCACAAGGCAAGCTTCCTCTTAGCTTTGGACACTTTTCTAGAATCAGCTCCTGGAGACGAGGAAAGTCTGGACCTCCACTTACACTCGATACCCATTCCTCCCACTCTGGCATCTCCTCAAACTCCAGCTTCTCCAGTGATTGAAATGACTGAAATGGCTGACCATACAACTCAGGACCTAACGTCCTAAGAAATTTCATCTCACATATGAAGAGCTCCTTAAGAGCAGGTAGCTGTCCAAGCGGTGGCAACTCGAAGCAATAATGACAGCCTACAAGGCGCATAACTTTTATTTTATTGAAGGCAGAGTCTCCCAACCAGTTTGGGAAGCTGGTCCCGCCATAAAGTTTGACGGTCAATTTCTCCAAATTCATGCAAGGTTGGAGCTTGTCAAGTACATCTCTCACCTTTACGGAATGATCGGCATCTTCGGAGACCCATGCCAACTCTAACTCCTTGAGATCTTGTTTGTTCTTCAAATTAGCTTGCAAGGCATCCCTACCATCAACCACATTATTAAGCTTCAAAATTGAAAGCTTTCCTCCAAGATGGGACAACTCCCCCAATTCGCCAATAGTCGACCCAGTAGATTTCCCCACAACAAAAGTAGTCAATGTTCTCAAACTTTTTAGTCTACCCATTTGCACCGGCATCTCTTCAATTTGAGTTCCACTACAATCAAGATGCCTCAAGTTAATCAATTTTCTCATGTCTGCAGGCAATTCAAAAAGAGACCAACAACCCGCCAATAGTAATGTTTGTAGACTATAGAGAGTGCAAATTGTGGCAGGCAACCTTTTGATTGCAGTATTAGAGAGATCCAAGTAGCGCAAATGAATGAGATTACCAATAGAATTGGGTAACTCAACAATATTATCATATGTTGACAATTTTAGCACCCGTAAACATGTTAAATTTGGCAATAACTCATGTAAAACCCTTTTACTTACATAATTTGTACAATGTTCTCTTCCAAGAGGTAGGAAGGTTCGCAAATGCTTGACCTCATATAATGGCTTAAATTTCACAGCACAATCAAATTGCCCTCTAGCATACGACAAATGCCGAACTCTTTCCAAAACTTCATGTGATTCGCCCCCTTCCCATCTCAAACAGGATTCCTTTGACACAGACATAGCTAAGTCATTGATGAGATCATGCATTCTGAAATGTGATTTAAAAGTTCTTGATCTTTGAAATAATGATCGTGATAATAAGTCATCAAAGTATTTCTTAGTGAGCTCCTTCATTCTTTTTTCAATCTCAGCTTGTGGAATTAAACTTTCTGCCACCCAAAGTAGGACTACATCTTTCTTTCGGAATTCATAGCCTTTTGGGAAAATTGAGCAATAAGCAAAGCATCGTTTTAAATGAGTTGGAAGATAATGGTAACTCAATCTTAAAGCCGGAATTGTGTTACATTTCTCAAGGGGTAGCTCCCAAATATTGCTACTTAATATGTTATTCCATTCCTCATAATTTGTGTTGAAACGTAAGAGGCCTCCAAGTGTCTCCGCAGCTAATGGTAAACCGTTGCACTTAGAAGCAATTTTCTTACCAACTTCTTCTAGCTCTAGATATATGCACTTGAGTTTCCATTTTCGAAGGCGTGTTTTGAAAGTAACAACCAGCAATCCTCATCAGACAACTGTTTCAAATAGTGAATTGGAACGGTGCGCACGAGAGATGCAACACTTTTGTTCCGTGTTGTCACAATAACCCTACTTCCCCTTGCTCCGGATGCAAAAGGACGTTGTAGGAGACTCAAATCACCATAGTTCTCATTCCAAAGGTCATCCAACACAAATAAAAATTTCTTGCCCTTTATTTGTTGTCCTAGCTCAACTTGAAGAAAATTCGGGTCTTTATTATCATAAGCTATTGAACCGACTGACTCAAGTAGGGTCTTAGTTACCCTAGTAACATCAAAATCTTCTGAAACATAAGCCCAGGTTCTAAGATTAAAATGCTTTTTCACTTTGTCATCATTATAAAGGAGCTGAGCGAGGGTTGTCTTGCCAACCCCGCCCATTCCCACTATGGTGATGACAGATACATCCTTGTTGCTTGCTTCATCAGATAACAAGAGGTTCATCAGCTTTTCTTTATCTCCATCCCTACCGTACACACAAGATTCATCCACCAAGGAAGTTGTTGGAGTTCTTTGAGAAACCTTCCCCCCAACAACACCTTCTCTCAGGCCAAGCACATCCTTTTGTTTTGCGAGGTGTTCTAATCTATCAAACAACTCTTGAATCCTACCATTCATGCCTTGATAAAAAGGATTAAGAGAAGTAGAGAAGAAGTTCCACACCTGAGTTTTGACGGTTCGATATTCAGCTTCCACCTTGCATCGCAGAACTTCAGCATTGATCTCATCCAGAAGGTTATCCGCATCAAAGACAGCATCTTGAAGCTCATCAAGCCACTCTTTGACGTAAGCGTTAGTGAACTGCTTCTCCTCCGCGTCATTAAGCACTGCATTGAGGCTCAATAGCGTTATCTTCAGTTTCTTTACAAGCGACTCGTCCAGTTTCTTTCTCCGGAACAAGTCCACGAACTCGCTGGAACCAATCTTGTCAAACAGCACCTGCACGGAGGCAGAGAGAATAGCCTCTCCAACCAAAGCCATGTTTCGATTCTTTGCAAAGGATTTGGACTTGAGTTGAAATTTGAGGCAAGTTCCGCAGCTATGGATTTGTCTGTTGAGAAGTTGAGTTAAGATTTACTTTTATAATATTATGTTTATAACAAGTACCGTTGGTCAATACCATTAATTAATTCAAATTGTGTAGGTGGGTTCTTGGGACCCACACGGCATAAGTAATAATACTCTGGTTTGGACTGTTGGAGAGTGGAGGATGACAACACGACAACAACGACAATTCAATGGTCCGCAAGTGGAACAGACTCGAATGGTGATGATCTCTTTGTGACTCTACGGCTCTTAACAGATTTCAATAAATAAGGTAGAGGGAAGAAAAGTGGTGGTTTATTGGTCATTGTGGTAATAGAGTGATCGTGTAGGCTGGTCATTGTGGTGGGAACTCATACGTGGAAAATGACTGAAATGTTTGAGTACAACGCACATTATCAAGGTGTGGGGCATAAAACTTGAGACTATTAGTCTGGAAGTGATGTAGAACAGATGGCAGATTTTATCGCGGTTGAGTTTCCATTTTCAAAGGCATGTTTTGAAAGTAACAACCAACAATCCTCATCGGACAGCTGTTCCAAAAAGTGAATCGGAATGGTGCGTATGCAAGCTGCCACACTTTCATTACGTGTTGTCACAATGACCCAACTTCCACTTGCCCCGGATGCAAAAGGACGTTGCAAGACACTCAAATCACCATAGTTCTCATTCCAAAGGTCATCCAACACAAATAAAAATTTCTTGCCCTTTATTTGTTGTCCTAGCTCAACTTGAAGAAAATTCGGGTCTTTATTATCATAAGCTATTGAACCGACTGACTCAAGTAGGGTCTTAGTTACCCTAGTAACATCAAAATCTTCTGAAACATAAGCCCAGGTTCTAAGATTAAAATGCTTTTTCACTTTGTCATCATTATAAAGGAGCTGAGCGAGGGTTGTCTTGCCAACCCCACCCATTCCCACTATGGTGATGACAGAGACATCCTTGTTGCTTGCATCATCAGATAACAAGAGGTTCATCAGCTTTTCTTTATCTTCATCCCTACCGTACACACAAGATTCATCCACCAAGGAAGTTGTTGGAGTTCTTTGAGAAACCTTCCCCCCAACAACACCTTCTCTCAGGCCAAGCACATCCTTTTGTTTTGCGAGGTGTTCTAATCTATCAAACAACTCTTGAATCCTACCATTCATGCCTTGATAAAAAGGATTAAGAGAAGTAGAGAAGAAGTTCCACACCTGAGTTTTGACGGTTCGATATTCAGCTTCCACCTTGCATCGCAGAACTTCAGCATTGATCTCATCCAGAAGGTCATCCGCATCAAAGACCGCATCTTGAAGCTCATCAAGCCACTCTTTGACGTAAGTGTTCATGAACTGCTTCTCCTCCGCGTCATTAAGCACTGCATTGAGGCTTAACAGCGTTATCTTCAGTTTCTTCACAAGCGACTCGTCCAGTTTCTTTTCCCCGAACAAGTCCCTGAACTCACGAGAACCAATCTTGTCGCACAGCACCTGCACGGAAGCAGTCAGAAAAGCCTGTCCAACCAAAGACATGTTTCGATTCTTCGCAAAGAATTTGGACTTGAGTTAAGATTTGAGGCAAGTTTTGCAGCAAAGGTTTTTTTTTTTTTTTTTTCCAATTGCAGCAAAGGATTTGGCTGTAGAGAAGTTGAGTTAAGATTTATGTTGCTCTCAGTATCATTGACTTGGAGTCTTCGAGTGAGAATATTATTGCAAAAAGACAAGCGAGTGCGTTTGTATCGTGGGGAACCCACACGGTTCGACTCATCATAAAGTTGTCGTCCATTAAGTTTGATAGGATATAAAGGCACTTGTACCTATTATAAGATGACAGGTGTCATGTCGTGATTTGTTGAGTTAGTTAGATTGCTTAGTCGAGAAGATTACAATGTAACAATACATAAGAATCGTGTAAGCTGGTAATTGATTACTTTAGCAAGAAACAGAAATAGAAAACAAAGTCTTTTTCTTCAATTCTCACAGATTCTTCTCATTCTCTTTAATGTTTTCAAAGTTGTCGTCCCTAAAAGTCTATTTCAATTTCATTTTACCCCATTTTTCATAAATGTGTGTCTCACTTTACCTGGATAATTTGAGACACTCATTTTTCTTTTAATTTGAGTTTGTCTAATATATGTCCATACAAATTTTATTTTCTAGACATCAACTTATTAATTTTGAAATCTATGTATAAAATCCAAATTCTAATTAAAGATATAAAAGGTTATAATATTCCTACATATTTATAGTATTTGCCACTAAACTTCAAATAAGTCAACTTGACAATTTTCAAGCATATCATTAAGTCCCTCATTTTTAATTATACAAATTTATAAATAAACCCAATCCTAGACATGTATTTATAAAAAAACTCAAACACTATTTAGCCAATTATGTAGCCAATATATGTAGCCAATTAACCACCACGCTGGTCATAACTTTGTGATTATAAATTATGGAATCTAGTATATATAATACTTGTGAGCTGCTTTCCAAAATAGAAATTAACATAATTATTTACTGTTTTATATTTTTTATCAGTTACTTAATTAATTAATATAATTTATTTCTTTTCTATTTAATCCATTTAATGTTATTGATTATTTTATTATTCATTATAATTCTTACATTACTAAATTCTCCTTCAAATTGTTGCTTAATTACTTAAATCTCTATAATCATTTTCTTTATTTCCTATTTAATTCTTCCTTAGATAAATTTATTTATGCTCTTAGTTAATTTTCAATCTTCACTATTATTTTTTGAGTGTGGTAGAGTGCCTAATTTTCACGACAAATCAAGTTGGTTTACATCTTTAATTATTTTTCAATTTTTGATAAAATAATAAATATAACAACGTGTACCATGTCCAGTGAATAACGTAAAATAAGGTTACTCATGTATCTTATCATGCAATTTATAAAGTGTAAAATATTTTACTAAAAAATGATAAATAA